CTAAATCTGGACAAATATAAAGTAATGTGCTTCTCGCGAAGAGCTGTTCAACCACTTTCTTATACAATAGATAACCATAATTTGGAACAGGTATACAATTTTGTGGACCTTAGTATCACAATGGATCCGAAACTTAATTTTAATCTTCACATTAATGTGACAGTCAACAAGGCTAAAGGTGTACTTGCATTTGTCAAACGATAGTCAAAAGAATTTAGTGACCCTAATACTAGGTTCACATATAAGTAGATTATCCTCATTTTCGAGCTTAACTTCCTAATCTATAATTAGAAAAAGTGATTAGCCATATAAAATTCCGCCCTTGTTAATCTGTAATTATAAAATAATCTCAGATTGAACCGATAACTTTTCGGTGTCCATCCTAGTTTTATCGATTGTTTTTGCGAAGAAGAGGAGAAATGGCAAATGTAAAAGTAAACAAAAATGGACGCTAGCAAGGAAAGCAAGATTTTAAAGGCATTTTTTGATAAAATGTTAAGTTAAAATGTATCTATATTGCTTAATATAGCAGAAAAACGTGATCACGGTACACGGTAAACGGGCACAACAAATTTGACGGCTAATAATCTGAGATTTGCCTGTGTAAACGGGGTGATTAAAAAACGAGCTTTGATTGAGGTAATATTGATATGTGAACATAGTTTTATATCACAAAACCCTGTTTACAACATTAGTTAGACCAATTCTGGAATACGGTTCGGTGGTTTGGAATCCAAAGTTTCAAATTTACTCAGACAAGATAGAATCAGTCCAAAAATAATTCATACTTTTTGCTTTAAGAAATTTCCGTTGGGTTTCTCAATATAACCTTCCGCCTTATATGAGCCGATTAAAACTTATTAATCCTCCAACACTTGTCAGTCGCAGGAAAATGCTTGGTACAATTTTTATGGTTAAATTACTGACAGGCTCACTAATTTAGAATTACACGAGCCACTCCGTTGCTAATGCCAGGATTTTAACTCTCATTCCAGCACATTTGATATATCTGATTCGCTTTTCAGCATTAAGAAAGCGATACTATACTATCTCAATAAGTGAACTATTAACATAGACATAAAATCAGCTGATGAATTTAGTTCTGTAGCTGAACAGTTTTAGATCTCGACATTTAAAAAACTCCTGCCTATCGTGACTCGGTGCGAAAATTGAAAATATTGGTTCCGTACGTCATGCGGACTGCGTTCGGATGGGCGCGAAAGGAGGGTAAAAACCGTTGGGATTTTTTATTTTTTTTTTTCGTAGGAGAGGGAAATGCTTTATGCACTGGC